ACTCAGGAGCGTCCACCTCAATTTTCGAGTGCAGGATTTGAGATAAAAATTCTGAACCTAGAGAATATATCATTGTTGAAAATGGGGTTTTCCCTTAATAGAGTGACACTTTGCCTAGTCCATTTGTCATTTCAACTACAGGAGACTCTATTCTAATTCTCTGACCGCCCAAGAGACCATTAATCCCAAGGAACTGTAAATTATTTCCAAAAATGGAAGGCTGATATGGGCAAATATTGTAAAAATATTCTGTAGGTAGAAATAAATTCAGCACTTGTGTACACATCATGCTGTAATCGGTTTGAATTATGGACTCTGACACATCACATTTATTTTCTTCTGCAGACTGCACAGTCTGCATCTCAGCGTATACAGTTGAGAGATGAGGTTTGGAAATTTGCTTTATTTAGGATTTTATTGCTTGCTTGTGAAAAGATCAGTGTTTATAAGAGTATGTATCTTCTTGAAAGCTATGTTTCATAACATTTCAGCTTCTTATCCTCCTTGACATTTCCTTGTGACACTTGTCTTCTTCCTGGTTAAAATTATAAAATGATAAATTGAACATTTTGGTTTAAATGAGTCTTTAAAAATGGAGTAACTCATAAACTCAGCTATGTGCACGACGATCCTGGAAATTTGAAGAGACAGCTGAGGAAAGGACAAAGTAATGCCTCCTCCTCCTTTATACAAAATCTTCAATATTTTAATGTTATTTTAACATTGGAAATCAGTCAGTGTCTTCACTGTACCTTTCTTGGGAGGCAGAGCAATTGTTTAGTAAAAATAACTCAGCCATCCAAAATCTCTTTGTTACTCCTGTTTCCAAAAGGAAAAAAAAATCTTATTGATGGGATGAGTTGGGTTAGAAACTTGAAATGGAATAAAGTGGAATATTCTGGGAGAGCATGGCTGGTTGGATAGAATCCTGATTCCCTGTAACATTTTAGTTAGTTTACTTTATTGTCATTGCACCTCGTACAACGAAATCAAACACCATCTTCAGTACACATCATGACCATGAAAATAAACACAAATACACATCCTTCACACTCCACACATTGAACCAAAAAACCCCAACACTGTACCAACACTGTACTCTACAGTACAGAGTTATTGCCCTGGAATAGAAGCTGTTTTTCAGCCTATTTGTGCTTGTTTTTATTATTCTGTACCATCTGCCAGATGGTAATAATTCAAAAAAAGGGTGCCCAGGATGAGATGGATAGCAAAGCTATTTAAATTTGGAGGGGGGGAGTAATAGAATAAGAGCGTTGGAGGGGACCTTGAAGGTCTCCTAGTCTAATTCTCTGAAAGCAGAAGACCCCATACCATTTCAGAAAAATGGTTTTCCAATCTCTTCCTAAAATCCTCCAGTGATGGAGCGCCCACATCTGAAGGCAAGCTGTTCCACTGATTAATTGTTCTGTCAGAAATTTCTCCTTATTTCTAGATTGGTTCTCTCCTTGATTAGTATTAGTTCTCTCCTTGGTCAGTATTTTGAGGCAATGTCTTTGGCATTAATCAGATTTTGCCTTTAGCTGTAATAAATTATATTTATTTATCTGTCAAAAATGAGTACTGTGATGGGTTTGGGAATCAAAGTTTGCTTTGAACTTATTAAACTTCATCGATAAAGAGCCAGAAGAACTGTGGAATGAATGAAAGAAGGCAGCAAAATAAAGTTGCTTTACTATACCCTTTATTGGAAATACAGCTAATGTTTGGGGTTGATATATCATTTTTCATTCATTTTTCAGGACAATAGTATTACTGTAATACTATTGTAATATTAACGTTGTAATATTAACATTGTCTTAATATAAAAAAAATCTGTTTTTTGAATTTAGAAGTACTAAAAATAAAAGGAAATAAGTATGTTTGAATTTATTATTTAAGGATTAATTATAAAAATAATTCATCAATAATTCTACATAACTATAGATCTGCATTATATTGATCAAAGTTTCTCTAGATTGTTCAAGTCTAGAACACAGGTTTCTACTCTGGACCTTCTTGAATGATGTCACCAGGTAAACTGAGACAACAGCACACAGAATTACAATTTCTGTTGTTAAGTTAAACTTTTGTTAAGTGAGTTTTACCCCATTTTGCGACATTTCTCGCCAGTTGCTAAGTGAATCACTGCAGTTGATAAGTTAATAACCTGGTTAAATGAATCTGGCTTCCCCGTTGACTTTGTCAAAAGGTCACAAAAGATTATCACATGACCTTATGACACACGCCGATCATAAGCATGCATTATTAAAGCGGAGACGGGAAGAAGATCGAAGCTGACGGAAAAGAGACAGTGTGGCGCCATAGGCGATACTTAGAAAACCTGAAGTTATCGTAGCAATATTACCGATATAAACTACTTAACAGACCTTTGGGAGAATACTAATCTATTTGAGGAGGTGGTTCCATCTGAAGAAAATCAGGAAAATTGAACTTAGGAACATTAAGATAAAAAGCAAAATTGGAAGCTTCTGAATGAGTGGAGATATCGCGTAATTGCAGTCATTATTCAGCATTTTTACCTCCCCACTTCCGGTGCGATTGGAGTGAAAGCTCTTAAATTTAGAGACGGAAAACTAAAAACTTACTTCAAAATTCCTTTCCCCCCACTTTTTTTATTCTCCTTTCCCTGTATACATTTTTTTTCTTCTTTTTTCCTTACTGTTTGGCATTATGATGAACTATCTCTCCTTCCTTATTCTCTCTTTATGATTATAAATATGCATACTGAGTAAAGGAATATTGATTGTTGTATTAGATTGTTAAATAATTGAATGAAATAACTGTTAAATTTATTTGGCAAGGGAAAAAAACTAGAATAAATTTAAAGACAATGCAGGATATGAAGAGCAGGGGAGGGCTGGAACTTCCAAATTGGGAGTTGTATTATATTGCTGCCTCTTTAGTATGGTTGAAGGAATGGGTGAATTTAACTAACAAGAGAATATTATTTTTAGAAGGCCATGATTTGCAGAGGGGGTGGCATGCTTTTTTATGGGATGTAGGGAAAACTAGCCAGAAATATTTCCACAGACACCTAAACAGAGACTCATTATTAACTAATTGGAAGAAAATACGGAAAAAAACATTATTTAAAAGTACCAATTTGGATTTCAGCAATGGAGGCGATGATTTACCCAAATAATCTGGATATTACTAAAATGATCAAATATAAGGACCTATTGGATACACAAGGAAATTTAAAATCGCGGCAAGAACTTCAAGAGCGGTGACTAAAAATTGATCAGTGGGCATACCTTCAAACTCAAAGTAGACATAAACAGGACAAGAAAGAATTCAGAATCAACAATAAACTCCAGCAATTAGAAATTTTTTTATTAGGATCAGGCAAAAAAATATATAACAAAATTTTATCATTATTTATTAGAAGTATAATTAGAAGAAGAAATTGTAAAAGGGAACATGATAGCCTGGAGTAGGAATGTAGGACGTAGCATCACCCTAACAGAATGGGAAAAGGTCTGGGGTAGAAATAATAAGATTACAAAATTGGTAGCATATAAAGAAAATGCCTATAAAATGTTTTATAGATGGCACCTTCCTCCTTTGAGATTAGCGAAGGTGCACCCCAATATGAGTCCGAATTGCTGGAAATGCAAAAGAAAAAAAAGAGGGAACTTTTTTCCATATGTGGTGGTCCTGTACAGAAGCTCAAAAATATTGGCAGAAAATTAGAAATTGGCTGGAAGAAATGACAAGAGAACAGATCGAATACAAACCAGAGTCCTTTTTGTTAGGGATCTTTGATAAACAAGTATCAAAAAAAGCAAAATACACAATAATACACATTTTGACAGCGGCCAGATTAGCTTTTGCCCAATGTTGGAAGCAGCCTCATGTTCCATCAGAGGAGATGATCTTTCAAAAAATTTCAAGTTGTGCAGAAATGGGCAAATTAACTTTGGCATTAAAAAATAGACACCTCAATATACTACAACAGCTGGAACTGCTGGTACAAATGGATAGACCAAAGATAGACTTTACACTATAAGGCAAAAGAGGATAGGATAAATCCACAGTAGTGATACACAGATATATGTAAGGATTAGGTGTGTGTATATGACATAAATTAAGGATAAAAAAAAAGAGGTCTTACAAACTGTTGAAGATGAGAATGTTTTTGTTTTCTTTTTTCTTTCTATTTTCTTCTCCCCTTTTTCTCTTTTTTTCATTTGTGTATGTGTTGTCAGTTTGTTTTAACTGTAAAATCAATAAAATTTATTTATTAAAAAAAGGTCACTAAATGAAATTTTTGTAAGTCAAGGACTTCTGTATCGGGCTGTTTGACTACTTTATACTGTAGTTCTGTGGACAAAGAAGAGTGGGTCAAATTATTTGCCAATGCACCAAGAAACAATGGTTAGAAAATAATCAAAGAGAGACGCAATCTGGAATTAAGGAGAAACTTCTTAACAGTGAGGACAATTAACCAGTAGAACAGCTTTCCATCAGAAGTTGCAGGTGCTTCATCACTGGATGATTTTAGGAAGAGAGACTAGACTGTCACTTATCTTAAATCTCCTGCTTGACCAGGGGATTGTACGAGAAGGTCCCTTCCAGTTTATTCTATTCTATATTCTCCATTCTTTCACTCCACTCCCTATTTCTGCTTCCACTTCGACTTCTATTCTGCTTTAAAAGGCTGCCCACTAAGTCATATGTCCCATATTGCCTGAACAGTATAACCACTTCCATACTTCCTACAGTACATTACGGACGTTCGGAATACGTCAAGTCACTATAAATAAGAATGAACCAAATCGGAGAGGCTTCAGAAGACCGTAGCAACGATTCTATTCTCCGCAGCTGCCAAGAAGGCGAGAAAGTACCACCCAACTACTTAAGGGTCCTGATGACTCCGTCTACGCATGCGCGGAAACGGAGACATGAAATGAGTTCCCGATCTTGACGACTCCGAGTTGCGCAGGCGCGCTAGCCGATTTCCTTTACGGCAGCCCCCGAAACAATCATGGCGTCCGGATTTGAAAGCGAGCGGGTCTTAGCGGCGCGTAAGGAAGAGAAGCGCCGCCAGCGCGAGGCGCTGCTGCAGCAGGTGACCCACCGGCTCGGCTTTTGGCTCCGCGTCCGGGCCCGTTTGCTTTCTTGGGGGAAGTCGCGCGTCTCTGATCTTTAAAACCAAACTCCGGAATTTGGGACTCGCCTTCTCTGCTGTCTCATTTATGACCGAGCCCTCCCGTCTAGACTCCCTCGGCTCTAGGCTTGGAGACGTCGCCCTAAAAAAATAAATAAATGAAAACCTTTCTTTTTGAAGGATTGCGCCTTAGGCCGGATTAGTCGGCCGATGTAATAACTGGGCTTCTTTATGTCGTTTTCCAGGAAATGTAGTTTTTACCAATGAAGCCACCTCTCGTATTGCTCTTGGAGAGAGGCTCCCTTGAATTGCAGTCAATGGCAGTTTTGAAGTCGGGGTGGTGGTAGTGGCAGAGAACTCCCTCCTCCAGGCAATGCCTATTTATTAATATAGACCTCCCCCCTTTTACCCAATTGCTCTGAGTGGTGTCCAAAGTAAAGTGATCAAAATATAAATCCACTGTTACCTGATTCTCAGTTGACTCAGCCTTCCATCCTTCCGAGGTCGGTAGAATGAAGACCCAGATTGTTGGGGGCAATATGCTGACTCTGTAAAGCTGCTTGGAGAGGGTTGTACACTATAAAGCACTATAAAGCGGTATATAAGTCTAAATCCTATCTTCATAAGGGAGTATTTTTGCATCTCAGAATACCTGAACAGTCTTATTTACAATTCACTGGATTGTTGGGATGTCTTAGGAAATCAGAGAATTATGCAATATAGTCTTGTACAAAGTCCCTTTTAAACTGTAGGCAATGTATTAATGCATCACTGAATCCTTCTGAGTAAGGCTATCATGGTGAGAGGTCCTTGGTGCTCTCTGAGCTTGATTTTCTTGCTTTCTACAGATGTTTCATTACCCAAACCAGGGATCATGGAGTCCTAGTGAACAATCACTTAAATATGAGCCAGTAGTATGCGGCAGCAGCCAAAAAAGCCAACACAATTCTAAGTTGTATTAACAGAGTGGTAGAATCAAGATCATGTGAGGTACTGGTACTGCTTTATAAAGCCTTGGTACGATCACACTTAGGATATTGCATCCAGTTTTGGTCACTATGTTATAAAACTATGTAGAGACTAGAAAAGAGTAACTAAGATTATTATAGGGGGCTGGAGGCTAAAACATATGAAGAATAGTTGCAGGAATTGGGTCTGTCTAATCTAGTGAAAAGAAGGACTAAGGGTGACATGTTTGAGAGGCAGTGACAAAAAAGATGGGGTCAAGCATCAGAAGGCAAAACAAGCAATGGATGGAAATTAATCAAGGAGAGAAGCAACCTAGAACTGAGGAGAAATTTCTTAACAGTGAGAACAATTAATCAGTGGAATGGCTTGCCTTCAGAAGGTGTGGGTGCTCCATCGCTTTTATGAAGAGACTGGACAGTCACTTACCTGGAATGCTATAGGGTCTCCTGCTTGAGTAGAGGGCTGGACTAGAACACATCTAAGATCCTTCCAATTCTGTTATTCTGTGTACTGATGATGTTACCTAGTTTGGGTAATGAAACATCTGAAGAAAACAAGCTCAGAGAGCACCAAGGACCCATCATTTCAATCCTGAGCTACAAATATTTTCCTTTATTGATTATCATAGTACCATGTTTCCCCTTTTCATTCTCCTGGTCTTTTTATTCCATAGTTCATTTTAAGTTGCATGTAAGACAAAACAGTAGTACGGGATGAGAAGTTTCCACAGGGAGCAAAGGGACTCAGATACAAGCCTACCCTTGTGGTTGGCCACACATAGTTATTACATGACTTATCCCCGTGATGGGTAAACTTTTCGTTGTCACGTGCTGAAAGTGTATGTGCATGCATGCTGCACCCATAATGCAGTGCATGTGCAATCCCCACCCCATGCATGCACGTGCATGCGTGACTCCTGCCCTCTGCACCTCTGCATGCATGTGTGACCCTGTGCCATGCGCCTCTGTGCATGCCCACCCCCTGCTCATGCGCACATGTCTCCCATACATGCGTCTCCCCCCATGCATGTGCGGCAGATAACCCGACAATCAACTGGCTAGCAGGGGGCACGTGTGCATGCGCAGTAAATCAGCTCCGGGCGATGGCTCGGATACCAGCAGAAAAGGCTCAAGGCCTTATCCCAACTTACCTTACAGAGTTATTGTTTTGAAGAAAAATGGAAGGAGAGAGTTGTAAGACCTTGAGTTCTTGAACAAAAGGTAGGGTAAAATATTATTAATCAGTAAATAATTTCCTTTTTTACTCCTTGGTGGTCTTAGAACCAGGGGAAAGAAGTCCCTTCTGATGTACATGTAGACACATGTTATTTGCAAGTCAGATTGTGCCTTCAGATAGAAAAGGATCTAAAGAAATGATTACATTCAGAATTGACGAGCTTCTTTATTAACAGCCACGTCACAAGCTGTAAGATTCTTGGTAAGATTGAAAATTAGGGGAGCCAGAACCTATGTTTTAAACTTCACAGGCTTGGTTTGCAAGAACTGTGTCAAGTTATTTATTTTTTTTTAAAAAAATGGATTTTATAAGCAAATGTACTTTAGGATTATCCCACAAATATTGTTTAGCCAAAAAATCAGTTTGAGGTTCTGTTAAAAACTAAAAAGAAGAACGCACTCATGGAAACTTGAGATTAATTAATTCAGGCTGCCAATGTGTATTATCCTTTCATTTTTGGCAAAATATTACTATTTATGCAAAGAAATGGTTTTGTGTGTGTTGGTTTCCCATCACTAGTGGGAAAAGTTCTACAAATTAGAAACTTTTGGGGGGCGTTTTATGGCTCCTATCCTTATAGTTGGGAATGTGAAACTAGTGGTTTTATTTGTTGTAGACCACTCCAATCCCAAAGAATTCTGGCAGTTCACGAAAAGCAGAAGTAAGGACAACAAAATAAGTATAAAAATAAAGATTCCAAACCAAAGTAAGATTATGGACAATGAACTCAGACCAAAAGTATGATGGAAAAAACTATTTTTTAGAATCTTGTGGAAAGCAAGGATGGAGCCAAGAATGCCTCTAGGGAAAATGTGTTTCATAGCATGGAGGCGCTAATAGCTGAGAAGGGCTGCTGTATCACTCTTTAATGCATACAATAATCTCTACGTGAATCAATAGCACAGAACTTCCACTATCCTAAGATTGCTGATAAAGACTTAGCAGTCCTACCCTTTGCAGGTGATAATGTCAATGAACTGTGGAGCTGGAGAAAATATATTGAAGGATCAATAGTTCAATATATGAGGGACGTCCAGACAGTTCACTGGATGTACTAATAAAGCTAAATTTTAAATAATGTTGATATGTAATGAGGAAGGTAGACTTTTTGAAGGATTTTTGAGGAAATCAAAGACAATAGAAAAGGTGTCAGAAGACAAAACAGTTTAGCAGTATTTCTGATATGAGTTTGAGATTATAAGAACTTGAAGCAATTGTGGACAGAAAATCCTTGCAAACTGTTATCTGATCACAAATAATCAGAAGTGACTGAAGAACAACGACAAGATTGTTGCTAAATGATTAGCAGACCTGAAACTTAATTTGTTATAGAAGAATATAGTTACTTTGCAGGGAAAATTTTGGAATTCTGCTTTATTAGATAAGGGTCGCCAGTAACTATTTTCATATGTGTTATGAGAGTACTGTAAGGCTGAAATATTAGGGATTTACCTAAAGCAAAAACTTTGAATACCTCAGAAAAGACTGATGTGCTGTGAAAGGAAGCAAGAGTATTATAGTAATACAGCCTTCTAAACTAATAATGAAAATCAGAAAAAATGAAGGCTAATAAAGTCTGTAGACTACATTTTTCTCTCCTATTCAGAACACAGTAAGTAGGTAAAATGAGTTTGAATAAAAATGGAATTACGATTTAATAGGAATAATGGGCATTTAGTAGCATAGGCTCCATATCGGAACTGTCTGGACTGTGAGAAAGTGCTACTTATTCATACATTCAGTTGAGCCACCTTGAGAGAACATCTTCTCCCAGTCCTGCTTCAAGTTACCTTGTCATCTGTGGATATATGAGATGAATTAGAAAGAGAGGTGGTTGGAGAAGACAGAAGGGAATTTGACAGTTCAATTTAATTGTTATTTCAGGAGATAAGAGTTTTGACAGTTGTTTTTCTATTTCTATATGCAAATCCCACTCATGTACCTCAAATGTGTTAGCATTTGGGATAGAAGTAGAAATAAAGGAAGTAATTTATTTACAGTTTCTGCAAGCAGAAGGGATTTCTCAATTTTTGGCTGATAGGAGAATATGGAGATAGTCGCAGTCCAGGATTGGCTCTATGCAGTCCAGGACTTGTTTCTTCCCTTTGCCCATCCTTCCCAGAGGAACTGTCACACCCAGCCTGTGACTGCTTTTGCTTTCTCCCTTCTCCGATGCCTTCTGCATTCTTTTTTCCAGCCTAAGCATTCTAAGCAGTTGTTTGAATCTTCTATGTCAAAGGTGTCAAACTCAAGGCCCGGAGGCCAGATCGGCTCAAGGGTTGCTTGGATCTGACCCGTGGGGCCACCCTGGAAACAGTGAAGGAGTGGCCCGCGGTACTTCTGCCAGTGAAAACGGAGCTCAGGAGGGCCGCTGGTGGCCCTTCCGAGCTCCGTTTGCACTGGCAGAGGGTTGCAGGAGGCCATTGTAGCCAAAAATGGAGCTTGTGAGCCCATTTTCTCTGGCAAAGTGCTCAGGCCACTACAGGAGCCCCTGATACGAGTGACATCGAGTTGGCCCCCCAAGGTAAAACAACTCTGATGCAGTCCTCAATGAAATCGAGTTTGACATTCCTGTTCTATGTTTTCATGTAAACAGCAAATAAAGACAAAGCCAGGGAACGTATGTAAGTTAGATTTAACCAATTGCCATTTTGATCTATCCCTTTATATAGGAGTATAATGATTGAAGGATGCAGTTTGTTTAAAAGTAGAAACCATTGTAAGGCAGGAGAGGAATGAAAACTAGCAGCAATCAA